GTATAGGTTTTGCATAAGTAAAATCAAGTGTTCTGGATTCCCATTCTTCTCAGAGTCAGCCACAGTGTTGTGATTCACACAGTCAAATGTCTTTGCATAGTCAATGAAGCATAGATAGAAATTCCTCTGGTACTTTCTGCTTTCATCCAAGATCCATCTGACATTAGCTATAATATCTCTAGTGCCATGGCCTCTTCTAAATCCAGCCTGCACTTCTGGCAGTTCTCTGTTGATGTGTTGTTCCAGTTGTTTTTGGATAATCTTCAGTAGAATCTTGATTGCATGTGATATCAAAGATATTGTTTGATAATTTCCACACTCTTAGTCAGAGTATCATATGATCTACTATGCTGAAGACAAAAAAGGTGAGGAAAAATGGGGTTGCTTTCATGGTCAAAAAGGTCATTTCTAGATCCGTCTTGAGATACAGTGTTTTGAGTGACAGGATAATATCCCTATGCAGACAAGGAAGTCCAGTGAATACCACCATCATTAAAACATATGCATTGACAACCAGAACCTAAGAGGAGGAAATAGAAGATTTCTACCAACATTTATAGTCAGAGATTGATCGAACATGCAATCAAGATGCATTAATAATAATAATAATAATAATAAGTGACTGGAATGCAAAAGTTGGGAGTAGAGAAGGAGTATCAGCAGTTGGAAAACATGGACAGAAATGAAGCAGGAGATAGTATGATAGAATTTTGCACAATCAATGACTTATTCACTACAAATACATTCTATAAGAAACACAAATGCAGGTTCTACTCATGGTTTCACCTGATATTATATATAGGAACCAGATAGATTATATCTGTGGAAAGAATCGCTGGAAAAGCTTAATATCAGCTGTGAAAACTAGGCCAGGTGCTAATTGTGAAACAGACCACCAGTCACTCATATGCAAGTTCAAGCTGAAGCTGAGGAAAATGAAATCAAGTCCACAGGAACCAAAATTTGACTTTGAGTATGTCCCACCTGAATTTCAGAACCATCTCAGGAACAGGTTTGGGACCTTGGGCATTAAAGAGCAAAGACTGGATGAGCTGTGGGAAGATATCAAGAATATCATCCAGGAAAAATGCAAAAGGTCATTACAAAAACAGAGGAGGAAAGACCAAGATGGATGTTAGAAGAAACTCTAAATATTGCACTGGAGCTCCAAGAAGCCAAAGCAAGGAGTTGAACAGAAGATTCCAGATGGCAGCGTGGGAAGACAAACAAAGTAAAGTATTACAATGAAATGTTCAAGGAGATTGAGTCAGAAAATCAAAAGGGCCGAACTCGCTCAGCATTTCTTAAGCTGAAGGAACTTAAGAACAAATTCAAACCTCGAGTTGCAATACTTAAGGATGCTTTGGGCAGAATATAAAATGATTCAGGAAGCATTAAATGAAGATGGAAAGAGTATACAGAGTCACTATACTAAAAGGAATTGGTGGACACAGAAGAATTTTATAAAACAACGTATGAGCAAGAGCCTGTGGTGATGAAAAAAGTTCAAGCTGCTCTGAAAGAATTGGCAAAAAACAAGGCCCCAGGAATAGGAATTGATTGCATACTCTTTGACATATTTCAATGAACAGGTGCTCTAGATGTGCTCACCAAGTTTTGCCAAGAAACTTGGAGGACAACCACCTGGCCTACTGACTGGAAGAGATCTGTATTTGTTCTCATTCCAAAGAAAGGTGACCTGAGAGAGTGTGGAAAGTATATGAGACAAAGTTTTATCACCTTTGCCTCCAAGGAGCTCTCTGGCTGCACCTTTTCCAAGAGCTATGCTATTCATTTGTCAGTCCATGGGATCTTCAGTATTCTTCTCCAATGTCACAATTCAATTCTTATGTCACCCTTATTCATTATCTAGTTCTCAGATGCATAGCAAGTGCTAGTAAAGACCAGGGCTTAAATCAGTCAAACCTTAGATATGCTTCTGACATCAGACTTTCCCAGTGTTCAGTGTCTCCTGGTCTCCTGACTGCTGGTCAGGAGTCTCTTGACCAAGGGTGTTGATTGTGGATCTAAGTAGATAAAATTGCTAACAATGTCAGTCTTTTTTCCATCTACCATATTTCCTATTGGCCCAGTGGTGAAGCTTTTAGGTTTTTTGATGGTAAGGTATAATAAGCTTTGAAGGATGCAGTCCTTGATCACCTGCAGTAAGTGCCTTGATTCCTGCTCACTTTCAGCAAGCAAGGTTGTTTCATCTGCATAACACAGGTTGTCTTCCTCTAGTCTCACGTTCTTCTTCATAAAATCCAGCTTCTTGAAGGATTTGCTTACTGTACACATTGAATGGGTCTGGAGAAAGGACACAGCTCTGACATATACTTTTCTGGATTTTAAATCATCTTAATTCTCTTGCTCTCTCTGGACGACAGCTTCTTGGTCTAGGTACAGATTTCATATAAGCATAATTAAGTGTTTTGGAAATCCCTTTCTTTCTTCTCAGTGTTGGTCATCATTTGTTAAGATCCACACAGTGAAATGCCTTTGTATAGTTAATAAAACACAGATAGAAATTCTTCTGATATCCTCTATTTTCAACCAAGACCCATCTGACAGCAGCAATGCCATGTCCTCTTCTAAACCTAGTTTGAACTTCTGGCAGTTCCCTGACTATGTACTTACTGTTCTATCAGCTTTTGAATAACCTCCAGCTATATTTTACTTGCATGGCTTTTTTTTTTTAAATTTATTTTTTTAAATTTAGGTTGTTTATTTTTCATTTCAGTGAACATCACAGAGATTTTGGGATTCCATTCATTCATTGTTGCACCCTTCTCCCCGCACAAACCCCTCCTCCCCCCTCCCCCCCCCCCCGTTTGCTCCTCTCCTTGAAAAGCAAAAGAAAAACTCCCTCATTGGTACACAATCCCCCCCCTTGCATGGCTTATTAATGATATTGTTTCATTATTTTCACAGTATGTTGGATCACCTTTCTTGGGAATGGGAACAAATATCAATTCCTCCAATCAGTTGGCTAGGGACCTGCCTTCCAAATTTCTTGACATAGGTTGGTGAGCCCATTCAGGGCTGCCTCTGTTAGCTGAAACATGTCAATTGATATCTGAATTGACAAGTAGGGAGTTCTAGTGTCTTTGCTGTTGTTGTGTACCTTCGAGTCAGAACTGACCCATAGCTGACCCTCTAGGAAGTTGTCAGAGGAATTAAATCACACAGAATTTGATTGCCCATCTTTCTCTCAGACAGCAGCTCGCAAATTCAAACTGCATATTTTTGGATTGACAGCTTAAGGAATTTTCAGCTGCCAGCTGCTCTGTTGGAGAAATATGGGCATTCTCCTCCTGTGCCTTTACTGCCTCTGAAAACTCACTGGATGATGTGCTAAGGATTGGTTCTGACATGATGGTATACAACACACTTCCTGCCATGCTGCTGTTGTTGTAAGGTGCCGTTGAGTATGACTCATAGAAACCCTATGAACAGCCAGTCTGAACCCTGCCCTATCGTGTGCTATCCTCATCATTTCTGAAACATTCAAGCCCATTGCTGAAGTCACCATGTCAGTCCATCTCAAGTAATTGGGAAGAGCATGGCCTGAATTAGGCACACCTTACTCTTCAGACTGACAACATTGCTTTTCAGAAACTTGGAGAGGTCTCTGATAGCAGACTTGCCCAGTGCAATACATCTCCTGATTTCCTGACTGCTGGTACCAAGGGTATTGATTGTTGATCCAAGGAAGATGAAATCATAGTATATGAAAATTAAAAAACAACCAACCCAAACCAAAACAGGCACCCTCAAGTTGATTTTGACTCATGGTAACTCCTTGTGTGGTTCTCAGGCTGTGAATTTTGACAGGAGAAAAGAACTTTAGATTGATTCTTTGGAATGGCTGGATTTGAACTCCTGACTTTTGGTTTCTAGTGGACTAGGCTGTGAGGGCTTCTTGCCAGAGTATAATAAAAAAAAATCCAAAATAATAAACCAAATCCAAGGCCTTGAGTGGATTGCAGTTTATAGCAACCATCCTTCAATCTTAGTGGGATGAGAGTCCCCATCTTTAAGTGGAGCAGCTGGTAGATTCAAATGTCTGACCTGTTGTTAGTAACTCACCCAACATGTAATTGATAGTATAAGTGTATTCAAGTTGAAGAGTGAAGAATATAAACCCTATATCTCTATGGATGACACCTCAGAGTCACATGGTAGGATGAGTGCTTGCAGTGAGAAATGTGGTTGCTTTTAATAAACAGACTTAATACAATGTAGTTTAAAGTTACAGGTATTTGTCCTAGGATTTTTGTTTAGATTGTCATTATAACTTATTTCCTTTTTTATTTTTAAAGTACTTAATGGCTTTTAAGTAGGCAAAAGAACATTCTATAGTCATGAGTAATTGTAGACTTCTGAATATTCTTAAAGTGCTGTATTTCTATTAACTTTTATTCATTTAGAGAAGTAATTGATTTTCTGACATATCAATAATTAAGGTCTATGATTTAAGGGGATTAATGAAATAGTTGTTTACTAGAAGATAAAAAAAATTTGTTGTTTTAAACTCTTTAAAATTTCTAAATTTGTGACTTCCTTTTCAGAGAAGAACTAAAGATGACACGTGGAAAGCAGATGACCTCAGGAAACACCTTTGGGTAATGTACTTAATAAATTTGAATTAGGATTCATTTGGAACCTGGTTGGTTTTCTTTGACAATTTTATTGAGTTTTATAGTGCTGTGAAATTTTGATTGCAAGTGGCTTACTTCAGAGGGATTTTGAATTCAAAGATAAAGCCATCATAGTCCCTTGGAACTATAGTAGAATAGGGCAAAATTGTGGAATATATCCATTTTTATTTTTTAAAAAAATTTTAAATTTCATATAGGTTTGCTAACACATTTCGTGTGCACTGTGCTTCACACTGTTCTTCATTCACAGTGTGTTTCATACAATCATTCCCATGCATTATGTTATATAGAATTAATCCTCATTGAACCCTGCCCATCATTAACCCTGACTTTTCAGGCCCCCAGTGGATCCTTCCCATTTCATTCACCTGCTCCCTCCACCCACCAAATATGTGCAACCCTGTGGTTTTTGCCCCTACCAATTCTTGCCCTCTGTTCTTACCACTTCCTCCGTTGGGTTCCTATATGTGTTTTACGAGTTGTCCTTTCAGTCTTACAATAATAGTCTTATGTAGTATTTGTCTTTAAGAGACTGAGTTAGTTTGCTTAGCATAATGCTCTCCAGTCTCTCCCAAGTTATGTAATATTTTTTGAAATCGTTGCTTCTGAATGCTGCGTGGTATTTCACTGTGTGAATGTACGACAGTTTTTTAATCATTTTGATTGAGGTTGGACATTTGGTCTGTTTCCATGTTCTTGTGATGATGAATAATGCTGCTATGAAAATTGGCGTATAAATCTTCATTTGTATCTCAGTTCTAATTTTTTGGGATATATTTCTAGTAGTGGAATAGCTGAGTCATGCAGAGTTTCTGTGTTTAACTCTTTGAGGAAATGCCAAACTGCCTTCCAGAGTGGATGTACCAGTCTATGGCAATACCACCCTTAATGGACCATTTTACAATCCCTCCTCTCCACATCCTCACCAAAATTTATTGCTTGCTGCCCTGTTAAACTTTGCCGCTGCTACTGGGGTAAGATGCTATCTCATTGTGGTTTTGATTTACATCTCTCTTACTGCCAGTGATTTGGAGCATTTCTTCGTGCGTTTATTGGCCACCTGAAAGTTTTCCTCTGTGAAAAATATTTTCATGTCTTTTACCCATTCTGTAATTGTGTTATCAGTCTTTTTCTTCTGGAGTGTGAGGAGTATTTTGTAAATTTTCATTATAAGACTGTTGTCTGGAATGATATTGCCAAATGTTTGTTCCTATTTGGTAGGTTTTCTTTTCACCTGGTTGGAAAAAGTTTTTGAAGTGCACAGGGATTTAGTCTTTAGTAGGTCCCATTCATCAGTTTTGTCCTCTCCAGATTGTGCCTTTCTGGCTGTATATGTCAGCCTCTGTGAGATACAATAAAAGACCTAAATAAATTGAAAAAAATATTCCCTGTTTGCGGATAGGAAGATTCACTATTGTGAAAATGGCAATCCTACCAAAAGCAAACTACATGTTCAACATAATCCAAATTCAGTTACCAAATTAATTTTTTAAAGAGATTGAAAGAGAAATTAAGGTTGTTTTTGTTGTTGTTGTTGTTTTGTTTTATTTTTTTAAAGGAAAGAGACCTGAACAGGAAAAGCACTTCTAAAAAGCAAAAATGAAGTGAAAAGCATAGTTACTACACAGTGGTAGTAACCAAAACAGCATTGTACTGGTACAATGAGAGACACATAGACCAATGGAACAGAATTGAGAACTCAGAAATGGACCCATCTATCTATGGTCAATGAATATTCAAAAAGGAAGTAAAACCTATCAAATGGGGAAATGACAATCTCTTCAACAAATGGTGCTGGGAAAACAGGACCACTGCTTATAGAGAGCTGAAACACAATACACATCTGGCACTCTGTTGTTGTTGTTATGTGCCATTGCTCTTCAGTTCTTTGGAGAGGTCCCTAACAGCAGACTTTCCCATTGCAATACGTCTTTTATTTCAAGGTGGATCAGAAACCTGGGAGTAAAGCTCCAAACCATAAAGTTTATAAGGGATAAACTGGGACCAAGCTTAGCTTATGTATCCAGTTGTTTAGGGTGTCTGGTGGTTTTAGCCAGTCCCTACTTCTTGCCAGCTCAGTCTTTTGTTATGGTTTAACAATGTCCTAAATGCAGCTTGGACTTCTGTGTGGCTCTTGGTTCAGGATGTGCCATGATGGGAATGGGCTAGGGGTTGAGGAATAGTTCTCCTGAAACTGTTGCTCCTTCATTTCCCATCACCGCTGGGTGAGAAAGGACAGGCTGTGGGCTCTAGGATTCCTCTTTAGTGTCTTGTTGTTGCTGTTGTTATATGGCATCTTGTCACCTACAACTCATAGCGACCCTGTGTACAACAACCCTAATCCCTGCTCTATCCTGTGCTAATCACATTGTCTCTAACACATCTACACCTGTTACTCCAGTCACTGAATCATTCCGTCTCATTGAGGGTTTTACTCTCCAAAGACTGGGCTGTCCTTGCAACATGTCCAAAGTATGTCAGACAGAGCTTCAGACTCCTTGTCTCCAAGGAGCAGCCTGGTCCTTTCTAGGATTAAACTATTTGTTATGCTGGCAGTCATTGGTATATTCAGTACTCTTTTCCAGCACCACAGCTCAAAGGCATCAATTCTCCTTCTGTCATCCCTAGATATTGTCCAGCTTTCTGATTCATAATAAGTAATTGCAGACTTTGGCCTGAATCAGGCACACCTTAGTCTCCAGACTGACATTTTTAGTCTTCAGTATTTTGGCTAGATCTCTGACTATAGACTTTTCCAAGTGAAATTAGTCCTTTAATTTCCTGGCTGCTGATACCAAGAATGTTGTTTGTGAATCCAAGCAAACTAAAACTGCTAGCAATCTCAGTCTCTTCATAATCTATCATGATGCTGCCAATTGGCCCAGTGGTGAGAATCTTTTTCTTGATATCGAGATATCAAGGCTGTAGTCCTTGACCTTCTGCAGCAAGCGTTTCAGGTCCTCCTCAGTTTCAGCAAACAGGGTTGTATCATCTGTATAGTGCAGATTGTTGATGAGTCTTCTTCCAATCCTGATGCCCCATTTCTCCTCATAGAGCCCAGCCTACCAGGTAATCTGTTCTGCATATAGATTGTAAAAGTATGGAGATACGACACATCCCTGGCATACACCCTTCTCAATTTTGAACCTTGCAATGTTTTCTTGTTCTATTCTGATGACTGCCTCCTGGTCCAAGTATAGATTTCGCATAAGCACAATCAAATGTTCTGGGATTACCATTCTCTTCAGTCAGCCACAGTTTGTTGTGATCCACACCGCTAAATACCTTTGCATAGTCTATGAAACACAGATAGGCATTGTTCTGGTACTCCCTGACTTTAGCCATGATCCATGTAACATTAGCTATAATATCCCTAGTACCACTGCCTCTTCTAAACCCGGACTGCACTTCAGGCAGTTTTCTTTTGGTGTGGTGTCAGTTGTTTTTGGATAATCTTCAGCAGAATCTTGCTTAAATATAATATCAATGATATTGTTTGATAATTTTGTCACTTTGTCAGGTTATTTTTTTTCTTTGTAATGGGAACAGATACAGATCTCTTCCAGTTAGTTGGCCAGGTGGTTGTCCTTCAGATTTCTTGGCACAACTTGGTGAGCACAACCAGGGCAGAGTCTGTTGAAATATGTCAACTGGTATACTGTCAATTCCTGTGGCCTTGTTTTTTGCCAATTCTTTCAGAGCATCTTGAGCTTCTTCCTTCATCACAACAGACTCTTGCTCATATGTTGTTTAATGAAATACTTTTGTCTTAGTAACTAATATCCATACGCATACAAGGAAGTCCATTGAATACCACTATCATTCAAATATATGCACCAACAACTAGAGCCAAAGAGGAGGAAATAGATTTCTACCAGCTTTGCAGTCAGAAGTTGATCAAACATGCAATCAAGATGCATTGATAATAATGGGTGACTGGAATGCAAAAGTTGGGAACAGAAAAGAATGTTCAGTAGCTGGAAAATCCGGGCTCGGTGAGAGAAATGAGGCTGAAGATAGAATGATAGAGTTCTGCACATTCAATGATTTATTCATTGCAAATACCTTTTATAAGAATCATAAACGCAGGCTATACACATGGGTCTCACCTGATGGTATGCATAGGAATCGAATAGATTACGTTAGTGGAAAGACTAGGTGGAGAAGCTCAATATCAGCAGTGAAAACCAGGCTGGGTGCTGATTGTGGCACAGACCACCAACTACTTATATGCAAGTTCAAGCTGAAGTTGAGGAAAATTAAATCAAGTCCACGGGAACCAAAATTTGATCGTAAGTCTATCCCATTTGAATTTCAAAACCATCTCATGAACAGGTTTGAGGCCTTGAGCACCAATGAGCATAGACCAAATGAGCTCTGGGAGGATATCAAGAAAGTCGTCCATGGAGAATGCAAAAGATCATTACAAAGTCTGAAAAAGAAGAAAAGACCAAAATGAATGTCAGATGAGACTCTGAATATTGCATTAGAGCACCAAGAAGCCAAAGCTAGAGGAAGAAACCAAGAAATCAAAGAGCTAAACAGAAAATTTCAAAAGTCAGCTGTCCTGGCCCGTGAGGATCTTCAGCGGTGACCCTAGGAGGGGGAGAAAGAGAATGGGGGGACAGGAGGCACAAAAGCAGGGAGACAAGTTGAATTTCCGATCAAGTCTCCATTTTATTGAAAGCACTCACAGCTTATATACAGGAGCACAATGGGGGGAGGAGAAGTACGCAGTGGGGGAGAATAACATGTCATTTCCAGTAAGCTGAAAATTATCTGGTAAACAGAAACTTAGCAGGGCGTTCCCAGTAAACCGAAACCTATCCTCCCAGGGTGGAGTAAACCCAAACCTATCCTCCCAGGGAGGGGCAACATGTCCAAACATGTTCTTAGAGAATTACAAAATGGCTTCAGAGAATTACAAAATGGCTTCAGCTAGGTAGAACAAGCGGCTCCCAGCA